ACCATCAGGTGCACTGTAAGTGAATTTGGAATTTCTGTTTTTTTTTTTTAAATTAAAATAGAAATGTTTCCCAAGATAAATAAAGTATTGAAATTATTATGTAATTACTTTCTTCGTTGTTCATAAAATAACGATAGCTGACCTCTGAACTTACGAAATATCAGTGGTTCAACTCGCGGTACTTTTAAGAAGTCAAAACAAACTTTCCGAATTGTTTTTACAGAACTAGGGTGGTGTCGATTAATTTGTTTAATAAACATTTATCTGAAACAGATGGCCCATGAAATGTTGAATATGTACTTAAAACTAATAAAACATCGGCGGATAAAAGTCCTTCATCGGAAAACCTTAACATACTGCGAGCTGTCTTTAATAATTACATAGGTGTAAGAATATCCACTACCCCATATCAGATGGGCAGTAGCGTCTTGTTTATAACAACTAAATTATCGGTAGCACCACTGAGTCAGGAAGTTGGCGGTCTTACACGTTCGTGCCTCTGAAAGCACGTATAGCCGTTGGTCCCGCGCCTGTATCTCTGGTCACATCGGATTATTGTCCCATAGGAAAACGCGAGTGAGGGAATAAAAAGTGCACCTGTGCATGCCCATACACTTAAAGACTATAATCCCGCCCTGCGCAGATGGCTAGTCTTCGAAAAGTTTGGCAGACAAGCACAGCAGTGTTAAGCTGCTATTTTACGCTGGTATTCTGTGAGAGCGTGGTCCTTCCCCGGCCGAGCCGACCCATTCGTGCTACAACTGCATTACTAATATAGCTGCAGCATAGCTCTAACACGTGTAAAAATGACAAAATAATAATGACAAACAATTGAAAACTGCGGTTGTCGACCCGCCTGCCAAGGTTTGCAACTATGACAAATATTGGGAATATTTGTCACTATGAAGACTATGAAGAAATCTGTGGAAGGGTTTTATGTTCATGAGCTTACTTTTAATAGGCTCTAACGTTAACGGTTACGTATTTTCATTTTCAAACATTGAAATGTCCACAGCGGTGCCGAAGATAGATTAACATTCAGTAATATTAAAATGACGTAAAAAAGCTGTTGTATGGTACTGTCGTGTAAATAAATCTCGTTCTGATAAAATCATTTGGAGTTTGAATGAATAATAATAAAATCTAGCAGTATTCACTCCTTGATAAAAAGATCTACAAAAAAAAAAAGATGCACACGAATCAAATGAAAATGCTACGATGGTCAGCAGGCGTAACGAGACTCGATAGAGTGCACAATGAGTACATCAGAGGCTCCTTTAATGTTACGCCCATTGTAGGCAAGATGGTCGAGAGTCGTTTGCAATGGTATGGGCATGTAATTAGGCGGGATGAAGAACACCCAGTGGGGAAGGCCTTGGCAATTCCAGAGAAAAAGAAAGACAGGGGACGCCCGTTAGCCGGGTGGTGGACAACCGTATCCAAGGATCTGGAACGAGCACAGCTTGAAATACAGACAACCCAAAGATAGAAAACCTTGGCGCATAAAAACGAGGAGAGCAGACTCCAAATAAACGGAAAAGGCATGGAAGAAGAAGTATTCACACCTCGATAACGAAACACCATCTCGTTTTTGTTATAGAATAAGGGTAAAAACATACCACTATCAACCTGATAGTAAGTGGTTGCTGTAGCCCATAGACATCTACATCTATCCTTGATCAAGAATCAAAATGCAGATGCGTTGTTACTTGTCACAATGAGGACTAAAATAGAATGCCTCGTTTCCAGTAAAAAGGGTATCCGGTTCTCTACACTCACTAGACAATACCAGCAGCATTAAGCTGTTATTTTACGCTGGTATTTTGTGAGAGCGTGGTGCTGCCCCGGTCGAGCCGACCTACTGTGCTACAACCATTAATACAGCTGCAGCATGGTTCTACCACCTTAAGAAATCTCGTCATGTTTTCTTTAAGATTTAAAAACAAAAGTGTACCCCTAGAGAATGTTGCCAGTGACGACATATTTGAGACGTGGTCCCTCACTGCTAGCCGCCTGAAGAAGCTTAAGATTGATCAGCGAGCTATGGAGAAGATTAGGCTTGATAGAATCTGTAATGAAGATGTAATCTGTCATGATAGAATTTGTAATGAAGATATCCGCAATGGGAACAGAGTAACCAACATAAGCTAACTTTACCATTATGTATTGTAAGCAGTGACTGTGGAAAATACCAGAAAAATCTTATGGATTCCGCTAGATGGCGCTGTAACCATTCACGTAAGACGTAAGATACTTAGACCAGGGATGGGCAGCAGCTTCAAAAGTGCGAGACGTGTAGTACTGCGACCGTTAATCCACCTGCGTAGCATGACTATTTAGACAAATCCTGGCTGGCATCTCTTTTTTAACCGACTTCTAAACAAGGAGGAAGTACTTAATTCGACTGTACTTTTTTCATGTGTGTTACCTCAGAACTTTTTTCTAGGTGAACCGATGTTTTATGGTTATTTTTTTTTTATTTGAAAGCTGCTACTTCTCACGCCCATATAAATTTGATCAAGATCTGACTAGTAGTTTTGAGTTATTCTTAATAATGCGTATTTATCAATTCATGTCGTCTGGATGATTGGCGGTCCACTACTGTGCGATTTAGAAGATGTTTTCTTCCTCGCATGACTTGGTTGTGGAATCGATTGCCACCAGCGATTTTTCCGGACCGATACGAGGGACCTTCAAGAAAAGAGCGTACTCCTTTTTAAAAGGCCGGCAGCGCATCTGCATTTCCCCTGGCGTTGCAGTTGTTCATGGGCGGCGGTAGTCACTTACCGTCAGGTGAGCGACATGCTCATTTGCCACCTATAAAAAAATGTATTAAGTTCCACTACATTGATGATGTTCTCATTTTATTTATATTGAGGTCGGTTGTACAAAATTTTTATTTTACGGGTTGATTAAGAAAAATAAAAATATAATACATTAACAAGTGTTTTAAAATATGTATATCACAAGACAACAAATTAAAATTCAATTGTGTAACTCTAAAGTTTTTTTTTTGTATTTAAGGGAGCAAACTTCACTTCCCCTGAACTTTAATAACATTAGCCATTTGACCTCTTTTCCACGGAGACCTACCCTTGTCTTCAAATTAACAAAAGGCACTTTTTAATTAAGTGGCCTAATATTTTTTTTAAATATTTGGATTGGCAACATTTAGAAGATAAGAAATTTTGCGTTTACATTTTTCAAGTACTGCTCGCATTAAAACTATGAGGTCTACGAATATAGTAAAGTAAAACTATACCTAATTACCTTATATTGGTACAAATATACGTGGTAGAGCTATGATGTAGCTATATTAGTAGTAGTATAGTTGTAGCACGGCTCGGCTCGACCGAGGAAGGACCACTCTCTCACAGAATACCAGCGTAAAATAGCAGCTTAACGCTGCTGTGTTTCGTATGGTGAGTGTAGAGAACCGGAGACCCGTTTTACTGGAAAAGAGGCATTCCATCTTAACCCTCACGGGTGATAACGCATTTGCATTTTGATTCTTTATTGAGGAAAATGTAGATGTCTATGGATCATAGCAACCACTTACCATCAGGTGGACTGTGTGCTCGTTTGTCACCCAATCCTATAAAAAAAAATACAATAAAACTTCTAAATCAAATCCAACACGTAAATCACGACAGCAAATTACTCCCAAAACTAGTTTTCGATTAAAACTTACTTTGTTTCTAACTTTACTTAAGGACCTCTTTCATAGTAGAGCCAGAGTAGATACAGAGTAGACACAGAGTAGAGTCAGAGTAGTGCGCGTTATCATCGAATAAAACCGTAACCATACGGACTTTTACACGTTTAATGTAACACGAAAACACAAAAAAAAATAACGCGATAATATCCGTAAAAATGGTTTTCAACGTAGTAGAGCCACGCTGCAGATATGTTATGGTTGTAGCGAATATCACAGCAAGGAGTAGCAGCGTAAAACACCAACTTAATGTTACTGTTTCATATGGTGAGTGAGTGAGAGGTTTTTTTTTATAGATTAAGGGTGACAAACGAGCACACAGTCCACCTGATGGTAAGTGGTTGCTGTGGCACATCTACATCTATTTTCGTTTTCGAATTAAAATGCAGATGCGTTGTCAGCCGTGAGAACTAAGATAGAATGCTTCCAGCCTGCCTGCCAGTAAAAAGGATCTACGGTTCTCTACACTCACCATACGGAATACAGCAGTATTAAGCTGCTATTTTACGCTGGTATTCTGTGAGAGGGTGGTCCTTCCCCGGTCGAGCCGACCCATTCGTGCTACAACTATACTATTAATATAGCTACCGGAGAACCGGAGACCTTTTTACTGGAAACTATGCATTCCATCTTAATCCTACGGTGTGACAACCTGATAATGCATCTAAATTTTGGCTGATTCTGATTTTCCGACTATGAGACTTGCCAGAAAGTTCTTATGGCTTTCACTAGATGGCGGTACTCATGTTTTCAATTTACCGGCCAAGTGTTACAAAAAAGAAGCTCGTGTTCAGCATATTACTTGTGTAGATGGCTGATGATAGTGATGATTATTATGATGATTCCTGGTAATGAATGTTTTTTTTATAGAATAAGGTTAACAAACGAGCACACAGTCCACATAATGGATATCTATCCCCGATTAAGCATCAAAATGTTTTTTCTGCCGACTTCCAAAACGGAGACGGTACTCAATTCGACTGTATGTTTTTGTTTCTTTTTATGTGTGTTACCTCATAAATTTTTACTGGGTGAACCGATTTCGATGATTTTTCTTTTATTTGAAAGCTGATACTTCTCGTGTGGTCCCATATGAATTTGATCAAGATCAGACCAATAGTTTTTGAGTTATTTGAGTTATTCTTAATAACTTATATTGAAGTCGGCTGTACAAAATTTATAATTTTAAATTATTAAAGTATGCAACTTTTTGTAGATTTTAAAATTCGCGTCTCTTACATGCACGAAAGATACTTGAGTATTATGTTTATAATTTCTGTTTCAGACGAAAATCAGCCTTGGAAGATGTCGCTGTGAAACCACTACAACCGGCACAGTTTCCAGTCGCTTTAGAAGAAGAGGTAAGTCCTACGCCACTTAAAATAATGAATTATAAATGACTGAATGGAACAGTAAGTTGTCCTTCTACCTGACTTGGAATGACCTGGAAGTATTTTAAAACTGTTCCTTCATAAATAATGACAATAAGCCAATACAAAAGTGGTTTCTTCGACTTTTCTTCTTATTTTTTAATTTTAAGATAGCTTTTTGTTCATTCTGTAGTTTTTAACCGAAATTGAATGTTATGCCGGTATTTATTTTTTAAAATTGAACACATTAATCTTAATAAAAAAGGGAATGGGACATTGCGTAAGTTTTTGGTACAAAATATATTCTTGATGCGGTACCCAATACTTAATATTTAATATCCATGCCTTATATAAAAAAATATTACAATAGTATATCTTATTAAACCAACTTTACTTTTTATTAAAAAGTAAAACCGGACTTCGAAAACCAAAAAGAATGAAAAATTTTAAGTCTGTGCAATGACCTTAGTCATAGTGAATTTGAATTGAAGTCCCGACTTCAGATTGTTAATGCCGCTGTGTTTCGTATGGTGAGTGTAGAAAACCGGAGACCCTTTCTACTGGAAACGAGGCATTCCATCTTAGTCCTCAGGGGCGACAACGCATCTGCAATGATTCGTAATCGAGGAAAGATGTAGATAACCATGGGCCCCAGAGTCCACTTACCATCAGGTGGACTGTGTGCTCGTTTGTCACCCTTATACTATAAAAAAAAAGATATAATACAGAAAGCAAAGCTGAGGCTTTCTTAAGTTTAAAGCAAAGCTGAGGCTTTCTTAAGTTTTAATTTTTTTACACAGTTTTGTCTTTTTTAATTTTTCTACGTTTAGGAATATCCATAGTCCGATTTATATTTATTTTTGATCTAATTGTTATAAAATATAACTATCTAATATTTCAGAAAGAAACGTTAATCTCCACACCTTTCTAACAAATTATGTTAACTTCCCCTATATAATTATATTAACTTCCCCTGCTATGAAATCTGTCAGATATTTTACCTCAATTCTTATGGCGCCGCCCTGGTGGCAAAAAAGTTTGTGGATGACAAAGATATCGAAAACATAGAAAAATATACAGTCGAATCGAAAACCACCTCCCTTTCTTGAAGTCGGCTACAAATAGAATAATATTTCTCACTGAATTACGTATTTTACGTGATAGAGCCATGTTGCTTTACGTGGTAGACCTATGCTGCAGCTATTTTATAGTTGCAACACGAATGTGTTGGTTCGACCGAGGATGGACCACACTCTCACAGAATATCAGCGTAAAGTGGCAGCTTAATGCTGATGTATTTCGTATGGTGAGTGCAGAGATCCGGAGATTCTTTTTACTGGGAACGAGGCATTTCATCTTAGTTCTCAGGGGTTATATACGAATTTGAATTTTTAATTCTTAATCGAGGATAGATGTATGAAGATGAAGATGTATTCTATTGGCTACAGCATCCACTTACCATCAGATGGACAGATTGTTCGTTTTTGACCCTTATTCTATAAAAAAAATCAATATTAATGATTAACTATATTTCAATTAGTTAAAAAATTTATATTCACATCCCTTTATAATGCAGATTTAGAAAAAACTCAGGTTTATTATTTATTATTATTATTTTAATATTACAAAACGTTACCCCCCCACACTAGGATTTTCTCCTGTATCGTGGAGGCAATTAACAAACATAAATTGCACCAGGACAAACATCCAGACGCGGAACAATTATTTGTAGGCAATACAAATACTTGTTCCGTGTGTGATTCGAACTCGCGGCCCCAGCGCAACAACTCATTGCTAAGCCAATGCGCCACGGAGCCGTCATTTAGTATAATGGCGACGTAGATATAAGCTGCCTTTTGTTTAAAATACATTTAAACGTTACATAATTTAACCTAACAATAATGCATGTTTATTATTTGCATTATTCACATAGTACAATTATGTTGTGAATACTCTCGCTTAACAGTGACCTTGTCATCTATCTCGCTCTCACATTATACGGGTTCATACGGTTGATTTCCGTACGTTTTTCCTACGATATTCATTAAAACACTATGCTCAATAACCCTCTACACTTAAAGACTAAAATAGCTTGTCTCTAGGTCTGAGTGTTTATATAAAGCATTCTAAATTGCTGTATGTATGTGACGCTGATAAGAAACATTTAATTGTCTTGTTTTCAAGTTATGGTTTAAATTTATATAACAAGTTTGTGGGGTGATAAAGCGTTTTAATACTGTACACGTTTATGTTATCTTTCATTTAGCAATGTCATATTAGTATAACAAACAGACAAACAGCGTAAAGACGCGTCGGCTTTTAATCGAACGTGTGAAAAATTCAATTTATTTCAGTAAAACTGAAATCAGTATTTTAAGGGAATGAGTGTACTTAGTGCTTAGTTGTTGCTGTTCAATAAAAAGTGTTAAAGGATAAATCAAATCGCAATTTTGGCGTGTTATAGTATTTAGAAAAATAAAATGTGTTCTTTATTTCAGTAGAGCCGGTGTTTAGTTTCATAAAACTGGTTTGATAACCATTTTGTTAGTAATGTTTATCCAGTAGCTGTGTTTTAAATAGCGTGTGATTTTACTGTAAGGAAAAATCATTTAAATATATAACATTTTAAGACTGACACGTAGATACATAACAAAAAAATACAGTCCATCGAAAAAACAAAACACTTAACTACGTTTTTAAATATCACAGATAAATAAACTAAAGCGTGTTTATTTTTCTGATTATAGTGTTCTTAATTATTTTGCATATGTAAGAAGTGAGAACAGTAACATAAACTCTACAAAGAGATCACATGATATTGCACGTGCTTTTGTCTCAGTGGTGAATGCTTGATTATAAATTTAATTTTTCGTTTAACTTACAAAATTTTTGGGGTTTTATTTTAGGCGGTTGTTAAGAAATCTAAGGAGTACGTATGCTATAAATTTGATAATTTGTTTTTGGAGAATTAATTGTATTCAGAGTATCTATTTCTGGCGTCAAAAATACGAGTAATTTTATCTTAATATATATACATGGCATAAAGATTCATCACTCCTGGAATTTCGCTTAATTGATTACTTTAAACTGTTTTAATATATCAATATTTGGATCGCTCATATCATAAATAATATGTAATACAGAAATAACTAACTACATAACACATTATTATTATTACTACAGCTAATCACAAGCTTACTACAGGACATAGGCCTCCGTGGTAGGTAGGTTATCCTCATGGTGAAAGGTACAAATAACTACATAACTAAGCAAAATTAAAGACTACTATTTCAATAACCGTTGCCGTTTGGCACATTACTCATATCTCGTAATACATATGCCCAGTAGTGGATTTGAAAAAAAAGCCGATAGCAACAATCTTACTAAAACAAATGAAAAAGGTTTCAGTGTTCGTCTCATCAGCCAGTTGATAGTTGAAAGGTGGAAATAGGCTCTAATCGATCGGAATTTACGAGTGGTAGAGCCATGTCGAAACTATATAATGGTTACAGCAAGAAACGTGTTCGGTTCGGAGGAAGACCACGCTCTCACAGAATACCAGCTTAAATAGTAGCTCAATGCTGTGTTTCGTATGGTGAGTTTAGAGAACCTGAGGCCCATTTTGGTGGGTAGGAAGCATTCCATCTTAGTTCCCTGTAGTGACAACGGATCTGCATTTTGATTCTTAATTGAGGATAGATGTAGATGTCTTAGGCCTTACACTTATTGCCAGGTGAGCTGTGTGCTTGCTTATTCTAAAAGAAAAGCAGGCAGATTGGTAATCTTGCTGGAACGTATTCATCTTTGATACTGCTTACCGTCGCTAATTTAGTCTTTTTCGCATTTATATTAGAAATAGTAATGGTGATAAAAATGAGTCGAATTAACAGTCCACCTTAAGTAAGTCGCTTCTGTTACCCATGAACAAGCAGCTAACTTGATAGAGCCACATATGTTGTCATCTCTATCGACTATAATTTTTTTTTTTTTTTTTTTTTTTGCGCCCGAAGCAATTTGGAAAGGGCTACCCTTTACGGGAGGCGGAAAATGCATTACGCATACCACGATGGCTATCCATCGTGGTTATGTGGGACTCACAACCTACCGGGGGACCTAAGTGATACCCACTAAAAACCGCCTTTGGGGACTGGCAACTAGCTCTATTAAAGCTGCATATGCCGTATCGTAAAGCGACCCTCTTTTGGGAAAAAGAGGGCGCAGGCGGCTATAAGCCGCTGAGGGAGTGCCTGGGAAGGCAATTTGATTGTAAAATGTTAATTATTTATGAAAATTTAATTATGAAATTGACTGAGCCACCAGGAGGTAGTTCAAATCGTTTGACAGAGAATAGGCGGGTTCGAGTGGGAGTTCCTCGGCCTGCGGATGCGATAGCGAGAGGGAGTGGGGTTGCACACTTAGCTACCTCACGAACGAGTATGTTAATGAAACTCTGAGACTTTAAAGAAGTTTCAGAGAGTTTTAATTAGTGAGTGCCTACGGAGGCAGTTTTAACCCGACGTATTTACCTTACGATGAAATGATTAAATTAATTTTACAACGTACTTAAAAGATTATGATGCTCTGTAAGAGCAAGGAGTCTGTCCTGAGGGGACTTGGCAGCGCGCAATTTGCGTGCTAAGACTGTGATCTCCCCAATGTTGACGTTCTTAATAGCGGCGTACACCGTATTTAGATCATCAGCCACTGAGGGTTGTTCATGCTGTGCAGCGGGGGACGACCGCGGAGGGTCGGCCTTTTTGGGTCCCCAGGGAAAGACTGGAGGCTGTAATGGTTGCGAGAAGCCCGGAGGTGGGCGAAGAAGAGGGGGAGGGACCCGGGAGGGCCTTGGGTCTACCTGAGATGGGCGAAAATATCTTTTAGGTGGCAATCTTGACGGGAGGGCCGGGAATGACTTAGCATTAACCGGCGGTGGAGCGTGCCTAATGGGGCGGGGGTGAGGTGCGCAAGGGCAGCCTCTGTAGTTAGCCGGG